TTTACTGTTTGTTTTCTGTGTTTGTTGGTTCCTTAGGATGTAGATAGCCTTTTCGTTTGTTTTCTCTTCATGTATGCCATTTTTATTGTACTAGTGGGATTAGATTTTTCTTGGGTTTTTATGGCAGTGGTAGTTATTTCTCAGGAACCAAACCAAGTACTTCCTTGAGAATTTCTTGTAAGGGTGGTTGTGTGGTGGTGAACTCCCACAGTTTTTGTTTCTCTGATAAATATACTATTTGCCCTTCATTTCGGAAGGATAGCCTTGCAGGGTAGAGTATTATTGGCTGACAATCTCTGGCTTTTAGTATTTTGAATATATCGTCCCATTCCTTTCTGGCTTTTAGGGTTTGTGATGAAAAGTCTGATGTTAGCCTGATTGGGGCTCCCTTATAGGTGATCTGACGCTCCTCTCTTGCAGGTTTTAAGATTCTCTCTTTGTCTTTGAGTTTTGCCAATTTGACTATATAACATGTCTTGGAGAAGACCTTTTTGGGTTGAATACATTTGGAGATCATTGAGCTTACTGGATCTGAAGATCTGTGATTTTTCCTATACCTGGGAAGTTTCCTGCCACTATTTTGTTGAATATGTTTTCAATGCCATCTCCTTTTTCCTCCCCTTCTGGGATACGCATGACTCAGATATGAGCGCTTAAGGTTGTCTGATATCTCTCTCAGATTTTCTTCAATGCCTTGGATTCATTTTTCTTTTTATTTTGTCTGCTTGTGTTATTTCAAACAGCCCATCTTCAAGTTCAGAGGTTCTCTCTTCAACTTCGACAAGCCTGCTGGTTAAACTCTCTGTTGTGTTTTTTATTTGCTGAATAGCTTCTTCAGTTCGGCAAGTTCTGCTACATTTTTTTTCAGGGCATTGATTTCCTTGTACATTTCTTCTTTCAGGTCCTGTATACTTTTCCTCATTTCATCATGATGTCTAGCTGAGTTTTCTTGTATCTCATTCAGTTTCCTTAGAATTATCATTCGAAATTCCTTGTCAGTCATTTCAAGGGCTTCTTGTTCTATAGGATCTAGAGCTTGAGATTTATTATCTTTGGGTGGTGTACTTTCTTGATTTTTCATATTTCTGGTGTCTTTTCTTTGATATTTATTCATTGTGGCAGGGGGTTTCACAGTCCATAGGTTTGACACTATTGCCTGACTAAGATGTTGCTGGGTTGCCAATTTGGTATGGCTACCTCAGTGACTACTCAGTTGGCCACTAGTGCCAGGCAAGTCCAAAATTGACTTCCGGGCAGATGACAGGGCACTCGCGCCCCTCTCTCTGGTGAGTCCCTGCCTCCGGCTTCCGCGTTGCACTCCTGCGGCGCACTCCTGCGGCGGCCTCCGCAGCCAGAGCCACCCTGGCCGCCCCTGGCGCTCCCGGCTCCTGGTCGCGCTGCAGCCTGCTCCGTCTCAGGGTTCCAGTGGCGTCCGGATCTGGAGAGGCGACAGCCCCATCCCCGGCAAATACCGCAGTTGCTGGACCCCGAGTCCCGGTGGCAGGGCCGCATGGCCCGGCCCGGCGCTGAGTGCGGTGGCGGCAAGGCCGGGCACCAAGTGGTGGCCGCTCCCGGCGGCTTCTTCCCGGGGAGAATTTTGTAAATCTCACAAAATGGCACGCGCTCCTAACCTCTGTGCACGTATTTTGAGAGTCCCCTTCAAGGTCTCAGCAACCCTTCAGAGCAATCCACCTGGGTTGTAACAGCTAACCCCGGCTCAAGCAAGGACACCAGAGAATCTGACTCACCATCAGGCTTTTTGAGTTCCTCTTCTTGCTGGTGGCCGCAGGTAGCTGCCGGAGTTGTGCTGGTTGTAGTGCTCGGGCTGCGCATCGATCCCCAGTCTCAGACTTTTATCTATCCTTACAGTATTAAAACAGGGGCTTCCAGACTCTTCCTTGGTCAGTCCTATCTGAGGGCAGAAGGTGACACTGTCCCACAAGAAATTTATAACCAGAGATTTATCCACCTTTTCTTGCTCTTGGAAATGCACAGTGCACTCTGGCAGCTTAGCTCTGCTCTGAAGCAGTCCTGAGAGGGTTCAGGCCACAATGATCTTCTCCCAGGTGGGATTCCTCTTCCTATTCATAGGGCGCCCTCCTTCAAACTCTGTCACAGCTCCTTCAGGGACGGACAATCCAACATCAGGACCTGAGGAGCAGCGCTGGGAACAGCGGCAGCATCTGGAATCTCCACACAAAAGATGGTGGAGTTGATTGATTTCTGGTTTTTACTTGGTTACCTTTAATTTGTAATACAGTTTAAATTTTGGTTCGACAGGTCTATTCCCAGTCTCTTCACATCTCAAACAATTTCTGGTGTTTTGTTTTCCTATTCTTCAAAGTGAGTTTCAGTTTCTTGAGTCCTATACAGTTCTCACACGAGCTAGAGTTGGGATTTCATTAGCATTTATTACCAAGAAAAATTGTTTATTACATTTAATTTTGTGTATTCAGGAGAATATCTTCTCATCTATTCATGTCTTAATCTATGTCTCTTTTATGGTTTACAATTTCTTTTGTATAGGTCTCATATTAAAAAATTAATACATATTTCCTTTTCTATTAAAGTGGAAAATTTTCATAGAACGTTCCAGGAATACATATCCAGTAGTGTAACTGATTTGGGGGCTTTTATATACAATTAACTTTACTAATCTTATTATCGCTAATACTTTTTTGTGTTGATTTCCTTTGCTTCCTGCTAATGACCTCTTGTCAAAAGTTTAGAGTTGCAGCAAAAGTAAGAAAAGCAGTGGGGGAGGGGAAAAGAAGGAAAGAGGAAGAAAAGCCTAACGTAGTAACAGGCAGCCTCCTCTAATAATTAAAATGTTATGCTTGCTTCCCTTCAAACTATAGTCCAGTAAACTTACACAAATTAAAATTTCAAGGGCTTCCTTTACCTGAATAGTCATAAACTTGTATAAGATGAAGATGCTGGAAGAGTGACTTGTAATAACAACATTATCAACAATTATCCAGCTTAAATCACTCTGGAAAAATTTATTTTCTTGAGTTGATAAATCATATATCTTGAAAAATTATCTAAGACAAACTTTTAATTCTAAAAACACACAAATCACTTACTTTCACCCTCCTGAAGCATTTTCAATAATTGTGCATTTCTTGCCTTTACTTCTTTATACTTTGCCTAATAGTCAAAGAGAAAAGATTTAATTTTTTGAAAAGTAAATGACTTACTATCAATTAATGATTGCCATCAATTAATTAATGATTTACTATCAATTTATGGAGCTGTGAATTCTAGGCTTGCTGAAAGACAAATTACTTTTGAAAGAAACAAGATGGAAGAAAATGTATTCAGAATTGTCTCCTATTTAAATTAAATCCCTGGTATAATAATAGATATTAATGTATAGGTGATTAAAAATTAAAGCAGGAAAAGCTAAAAGTGGAGAAAACTCAGAATACTAAATTTTCCTAAAGAGTCGTCTTCTTTTCTTCTTCAAATAAAACCCTTATACAATGAAAAGTAACTTAGATAAAAACCAAAAGAAAAATGATTCATAGTTCTACACCAGTACTGTCCGACAATATACTAGAACTTTCTATATCTGTTCTATATCCGCCACTGTCCAATATGTGCCTACTGAACACTAGAAATGTGGTCAGTGTGACTGAGAATGAATTTTGAATTTTACTTAACCCCAATTTAAATTTTGAGAGACACTTGTAGTGGTTACTGAATTTTACAACACAGTTCTATACCTTCTCAGTTCAGGTTTAACTAATATCTTGTTGTTCCATAGACTAAATAGCTATAGTAATTTTCGCTGATGAGCATTAGTAATTTACTGAAATATCTTTCAACTCTTGCTCAATTTCCTTTTCCAAACAGCTTAGCTTCTTCTCATACTACATAAACAATACAATTTTACATTTACTAACAAGAGAAATTGTGTTTCCACATTAACATACACATTCTAGGCAATTTTCCACCTACACTAAACTTGTTCAACACATCTTGTAACACTGTCTGAATCATTTATAAAGATTTAATACATTAATACATTAGAGAAAACAATAGGTTTAATATACCATAGAAAAACGAAAGCCTAAAGAAACAGAACATAAGAAACATCATTTCTTCTCTCAACATGTACACAGATATATACAGAAATTACTAGATTAAAAAAAAAATTTGTAGGAGACCACATGCCCTGCAGTGCCAGGAGTGACTGAGCAGGTATGCCTCACCACCATCAGACTCCATCCCCAGAGCGGCCGAGTGCATGCCAACCAGACAGGCGCCACCCTGGAGAGATCCAAGACCTGAGGCAACCACGCACCTGAGGCACCAGTGGGCAACCAAGCATACACTGAGGCAGCCATGCCAAATTGACAGCCCAAGCAGCATCCTAGCCAGATAACAGTGTCAAACCAGTGGGCCATGAAATCCCCTGCCACAATGATTAAACATCAAAGAAAAGATAGCAGAAATATGAAAAATCAAGAAAGTACACCACCAAAGGGTAATAAGTCACAAACTCTAGATCCTATTTAACAAGAAGCCCTTGAAATGTCTGACAAGGAATTTCGACTGATAATTCTAAGGAAACTAAATGAGATGCAAGAAAACACAGCTAGACAACATGATGAAACAAGGAAAAGTATACAGGACATGAAAGAAGAAATATAAAAGGAAATCAATGCCCTGAAAAAGAATGTAGCAGAGCTTGCTGAACTGAAGAATTCATTCAATGAAATAAACACAACAGAGTTTAACCAGCAGGCTTGCAGAAGCAGAAGAGAGAACTTCTGACCTTGAAAATGGGCTGTTTGAAATAACATAGGCAGAAAAAAAAAGAAAAAATAATTTAAAATATTGAAGAAAATCTAAGAGAGATAGCAGACAACATTAAGTGCTCAAATATCCGAGTCATGGGTATTCCAGAAGGGGAGGAAAACGGAGAATGCATTGAAAACATATTCAACAAAATAGTGGCAGAAAACTTCCCAGGTAAAGGAAGAGACACAGATCTTCAGATTCAGGAAGCTCAAAGATCCTCAAACGTATCCAACCCCAAAAGGTCTTCTCCAAGACATGTTATAGTCAAATTGGCAAAACTCAAAGACAAAGAGAGAATCTTAAAAGCTGCAAGAGAGGAGCATCAAATCACCTATAAGGGAGCCCCAATCAGACTAACATCAGACTTTTCATCACAAACCCTAAAAGC